GGTTTAGTCTTGTCACTGATTCCTCTAAATAACTATGAGACTGCAGATGTGCAGGTTACCACAAACACATAAGTGGCTTTAGACGGAACGTTTTTAATACGGATCATTTGCAATAAAAATTCTTCTATGAACCAACGAGTTTATCTAAACATTGCCACTAAGCCTCTATTTTTGAAAAATAAAAGAAGCGTTCTTTTTCTAAAAGAATGTGACTAATGCATGCGTCGACGGAGCTTAGTTTTCAAACACCCATATCTTATTATAAAATATTGTTGTAATGACAAAAAAAAAAATTCACCACTTGTAACGATTAAAAGTACAATGTTACCTTTGCCAGTAGTAAATCTGTTGAACATTTTTTGCACTGCTGTACTCTCAACTCGCACATCTTGTCTGTTGGTTCATGGGGTAAAAAAAAATATTCTTATGTGTAAATGACCCTTAAAATTCTACCAATACTGCAAATATATAACAAATAATATCTCTGTTATACTAATGTTGAACTGAGGTTTGAGTTAATTGTTGGCTCGCAATGCATGAGTATTTCACAGCTGCTCTCAGACTAGATCAATGTTTTCTGGATTCAACTATATATGGATAATTCAATTGATAATTACAGGAAAGTTACATAGGATACTTTCATTCTGGAAATATGCAATTATCCTGGCAACATCCTGTGTACGACAGATACTTTTTGACATAAATAGGTAAGAGGGTACCTGCTCAGACAGATGTCTAGGCAGGAAGGGGTCCCGCCACCTACGTCTTTTTATTTTAATATAAGACCATACTTTTGAAGTAAGTAATATACAGGTTTTGCTGTTTTTGGTCACTATAACAAGGATTTAGATTATTTACACTACTAAAATGTTTCCTGCACATTTAACGAGTATCTTTCCATAAAGCCTTTCATCTAACAAACTGCCTTAGACTACATGTATAAGAAATAATTTTTATTTAGAAGAAAATCAACCATACTGAAAAGCCGTCAAATCAGGTAACACACATTAGGGTAGTTTGATAGACTCTTTTCTGCTCCAAAAACCTCTCAGAAATAAGAGGATGTCTGTGTCCACTTCGGAACGTATGCGGCGTTCTTTATTTTTTTATTTTTCTTTATTTTTTGTTTTACCGAGTACCTGGTAAATCAAATTTTAGAAATGTACTATTATTTTGATTTATTGATTTTGTTAGTTTCGGCGATTATCGAACTTAGTTCCTTTGCGTACGTTATTACTAATAATCTTGTTTTTACTCAGTCAAAATCTTATACAAATCAGGAGATCGGCGACAGAGTCTTCCTATTAACGAAAAAAATAAAATAAAACTGCGGTTGCCAACCTACTTGGTTGCTACTTGGCAAATATGGCCCCTATGAGGCAATCTATGGGGAGGCCTATGTTCAGCGGTGGACTTTAATACGCTGTGACGGTAACGGTAACAGTAACGGTAACGATTAAAACCAAATGAACATTTTTGTTTGTATTACATTACTAACGTGACTTACTTACAGGGAATTGTTACGATGTTATACTTTATTAATGTGATAATTGTTATTTGCAAAAGGAAATCTTAAAAGATGACAAAAACTACATTTTTAACACAAGTCTTATAATTTTATTTTAAAATATCGCCTAAGAAATTTCGTTTATATCCGACAGACTTAAATCTGTAAAAGTATCGATAATTGTACGATAAAAATTGCTTCATAGCCATATTTGTAATACATTTAGTTTGTTTTTATTTCTTATTATTATTTTAACATTTACCAACAAGTGTCGCTATTCCATATCTAAACAATGGTAATCGGCTCAAATTAGTTGTTTCTTAAGTTAACGTGTTAAACACAGATATTGACACCGGCTACACAGATGTTCATGAGAGGGTGTTTAAAGCAAAACACTTACAACTGTGCAATGATAATAAACAACGTGACTTGCTGGAGCTGATATAAAGTTTAAAGGGCGTCAAATAACACAAAAATATCAAAAGAATTATCTATTCATCTCCCTCTAAAGTATTATATAAAGAGACCAAAGACGATCATTTTACGTTTCTATTTTCACACATGCATTACACGCAACATTTTTCAATAGAATTGTCTCTTTTTGCTTTATTTAAAAATTAAATTAGAAAAAGAGAGACAAGTATATTTACCAAATTTTTGTAGAATTGTAGGTTCTCTCTATAGTTATGTATGTAGTTACTCTAAGGATTGTCATAACCCGGAATAAATATCATTAATTAGGACAACTTATTTTTAGAGTAAATTAAAATCAATTCGTCTAGGTCAGAAAATCGATTTTTTTAATTAAAGGTTTAGAAAAATAATGTGGTATATTTTTTGAGAACGACAAAATATAAGTAAAAATAATAATCATCATGAAAACTACCGTCTACCGCAAGACATAGTAGACCGCCTCTCGCACTGTAGGGGGGGGGGGGGGGGGGGATTTGCCATAATTGTCACGGTTGATGATCGCAATGCCAAACGTTGCTTCCCGTAGCCGGTCTGGATATTTTTTCTGGCTCTGACGTAACCGATATGTTTATACAGCCATACATCGAAAGCTATTAGATTTTTCATGACGTTTCTCCTAATAGCCACAATCAGACACCTTCGAGACGTAAATGGAATTCATTTACGGCGCCACCACACAGCAAACAAATTTAGTAGACTCTATCTTTGAAGTTGGTAATACAAGAGACCCTTTGTTTTGAGTAATTTTTGAGCTCTTCCTTAGTTCCTTTTCCATATTTTTTTAATGCATATCCACGAAAATTTTTATTTAAATATAATACTGAAGGGATAAGGCACCCTCAGGGTACAATTCATCCATACAAACCGATCAAATGGTTTTATGATGAAATTACTCCTTATAAGTATAAAATATTAATAATTACTGTTTAAACTTGTACTTTATGTTAGTTTATAAAATATAATCAACTTGTCACAAAGTAATAAAACTTCAAAACAATTTAATTTCTAACAAAGATTTATGCGAACGAAGTAGCGGGCACAGCTAGTTATATGAATAAATTTCAGTATCTTCGACAATTAAGAACAAGTAGATTACATTATATAATCTGTACGAGTAGTTTCATAATTAAATAAAGATCAATACATACTCGTACCTGTTAAAATTGTTTACAACGATTTACCTACGAAAAATTCGACAACGACCTCCACATGGACACACGCCTCCCTGCTAATCGCCTTAATATTTTAATGAACGTTATTATATAATGCTTCCGATAAAATATTCCACTCAACGAAGAAAACAAACTACTTGATATTTCGTCATTCAGATAGCCTAACAATGAAAAGAAATATAAATTTCACTCAACCCCGGCGCAAAAAATACATATCCAATAAAATTATACTGTAATTTATAAATATCACTTTATTGAAACATAAGATGATGCAAGTATCACAGAGCCCGGACGACCTACCTAACAACAGACAGACTACTAACAAATCAGACTATATTTATTTCGCCGAATTGGTACATTAGTAATTTCTATTGGAAAACGTCAACTATTTGTTCTTCTTCATCCGGCAAAATAGATCACATTGGCCATCATAGGAAAAATATTTCTACGACTATTTACATGATGGAAAATTACGGGCGACTCAAGTCGTAACTAATTCATGTTAGGATATCTGTAAGAGCAAATCTTTTTCATGATAATAGCGACAGAATAAAAATGTTATAGATTACTTACACTGACCTCGATTATACAAGTGTAACAAATTATTCCACTTCTGATGTTAGAAATTAATCTCAAAAGTATTTAAATAAAAGAACACTACTCTGTAACAAACCCTGCTTACTATCAGGATCCAAATACATGATAACACCAAAGCACATGACTCTTTACTCTGTGTCTAAAGTATGCAAACCAACAGCATCACTACCAATCTCATAGTAATGACAGTGGGATTCTTAGAATTACAGACTGATGCCTCTTTTTTGCCTGTGCGATATTCATCTGCATTTTGATTCGCATACGAGGATAAATGTAGGTGTCTATGGGCCACAGCAACCACTTAGCATCGGGTGGACTGTGTGCTCGTTTGTCACCCTATCCTATAAAAAAAAACTTTGGCTGGCGGTGCAAGGCCAAACTAGAAAAGGAAGGAAAGTTAAATGTGGATGAAAAAATATTTGCTCCTCAGAGAAAAACTATCGAATATGCAAATAGTCAGCGTTTTGGACCCAACAGACCTACGAAACTATTTTAAAGAGTAGGTGAAAACCAATTTGACGAGTAACAAAGCTTAGTAACGCCTTCAATAGAAAAAAAAAATACTTTAATGATTTCTTATATTTACGCGAACACTACACATTGAATAAAACTACTTGTATGGATTCTATCGCGTATAATTTTTTTTATTAATTCCCGACGTTTCGGAAAATGGTAACTCCTATCAAGATTTGACAAGGCATTTCTTTGTAGATGTCGATGACATTGAGAAGGATCTTTTTCTTTAGCGAATGACATAAATACGAGTAATGATTTAGAGAGTTGATCGACACAGTAGAACTTTAAATAAACAAACGCATGCGGCCACGCAACTGAGCTCCCTGCCACCCTGTCTCTTATTACAACACTACACGATCCACAGCGCGGCAGGGAAGCAGGGCGGTCGGAACCACTCGGTCGTCCTGTTTAGGGACCCTGACTCCCTGTTTCTTATTACACTACCCTGTCCCTGCGGGCAGGGCCCGAGAAATCGTGTAATGTAATAAGCCTTTAAAATAAGTGGGAGATTACCATTCTACCTTCATTTGTTCGTATTTCCTTTTATTTTTTTACCCTCATTCCCAACGCAAGTTTATGTGGTGGTTAGTGATTCCTTAATAATTTCTATATAATATATAAATCTCGAGGTTCTTAATAGGATGACTTAACCCAATGGAGCAGTAAGCTGAATTCAATGGAGAAGGTCCAGTACATTAAGAACTTTGTTTTTTTTTCCCTAAAATGACGTCTACGCGTAAATTTAAATAATTTAATTGCTGCAAGTCTGTCATCAAAACTGTGTGAATTTAGGGGAGGATGGTGAGCGGGCGCGAGCCCTTGACACTAAATTTGCAACGGGGAATGCAAGTAAATTACAAACGAGGAATTATCTCGTGTTCCATTTTAGTTTGAATTTACTCTTTTATTTTGATGTTGTGAGCGGTAACAGCGTAAATTCAGTTTAAAGCAAAAGCGAAAACGTTACCATATTTCGATATCCTTGCTCGTCGCTGGAATATCTATGAAAATAAAACAACCATTCAACGTAGTTTTAAAATTCCTTATTTTTAAAGATTTTTTATTTTCTGTTTAGGTTGTACTCAAAATTTCCTTTCATTTCTTTTATTAATTTTACGTTTGTGATGGTTTAAGGATTTAACGTCTATAAAACACTTTATTTGGTATTCTAACAACTTTAATAAATCAGTTTATTTCGTAATCGTAACCAGATGATACTGTTTTTTATAGAATAAATATGACAAGCGAGCTGACAGTTCACCTGAATAAAAATAGTTGTTGCAGTCAATAGACGTCTTCATCTAACCTCGATTAAGAATCAAAATGCAGATGCGTTGTAACCCAGGGTATCCGGTTTCTCTACACTCACCATACGAAACACATCATTGTTCTGCTATTTAAATTATGTTTAGCTGTGCAGTTTTACGGTTTAATGAAGAAGAAGTAAAGGATTTGTATATAAATTCTTATCATGTTAACAACCGTGTAGTGCCCGAGAAAGAATATCCACTATCCCATGGTTGTTGTAAGAGGTGACAGAGGGAAAAAGACTAAGATATGGACAGTAAAATCTTCTTTATGACAAGTAACAAAACTGTGGTTGCCAACCAACCTGCCAAGAGACATGGCCCGCCTGCCACGACAAATATCCCCCTTATGAGACCATCTATAGGGAGGCCTATGTCCAGCAGTGGACATCTGATTGGCTGTAACAGTAACGACCTTCATAGAACTAAAACTAATGTAATAACTTCACGAAGAATGAAAGCCCCAACAAGAACGTTTCACTTTTTGTTAATTATTATTTTTTACCCTTTTGAGTGGGCATTAAAAACATTATACCCTATTTTGCCACCCTGAGGGATGGCATTTTTCAGCAAATTTATAGAACTAGCCCCCAAATATGGACCTTTATAACAAAAAAAGAATCATCAACATCAGTTAAAAATTGATAAAGATATCGCATAACATACATACAAAAGAAATTTACAGCCGAATTGTAAGTCACCTTTTTTCGAAGTCGGATAAAATCCTCTTTAAAAATAATAACGCTCGAAGTAAATGTATTGAGCAGGATCTACATAGCAGGGCGTCCAAACTTCAATAGTCATTTGGCTTATGCCTTCACCTCGAAAAAGGATTAAATCCACCCGAGCGTCCACGTCCAAACACACCCATTTCACAAATCAACCTGCATGCCACTCACACTCAGTAGAATGAAAACAATGGACTTTACAAAATATGATTGTAATACTGTGTCGGGCACCGTGTCGGTGTGAGTTGGCTTTCGATAAATTTGGAAAACATGTGATGATTCTTTTCTTGTTATTGTTAAGTCGAGAAAATTAAGACACGGTCATCCCCACGTCATCATGTCATCCGTGGCAACATAAAGTAGCCGCTTTTTGTTGTTACATTAACCATTTGTTCGCTGTCCCATTAAGTAAAGAAAATTATTTAAAAGAACTTAATATAATTTATCAAATAGCGGTCTCTAATGGTTTTTCAAAAAATCTCATTAACAATTTAATTAAAAAGAAACAAAAGCATGTTGTTCGCAACTCTCTGTACGCGGTTCAACCTCAAAGTGTTCATCGATATGTAAACAGTTTGACCTACTTAGGCCCCATATCTGAAAAAGTAGCTAATACTCTTCGACAAAACGGCGTTCATGTGGCGTTCAAAACAAACAATTCTCTTAGAAATATCTGTAATAATAAAGATAAGTTGGATATTCGTCAAAAGTCAGGTGTTTACAAACTTGTTTGTGACGAATGCCACGCCGTTGACGTGGGTCAGACTGGTTGCAATTTCGAGACACGTTATAAAGAGCATTTAGCCGCGTACAGGAATTGCAATCCCGATAAATACCATTTTGCCAAACATGTTTTGGACACTGGACACAACCTAGCCAACGACCACTCCTTTAAAGTCTTACATACGTGTAATAAAGGGCTGCGGCTGTGTGTGCTGAAACAGTTAGAGATATTAAAAATTAATAATAATACCGTTGCATTGCTGAATGAACAAACAAATGTTACTAACTCACCTCTCTTAAATATCTTTAAGCCTGCTCTCTAATAATAGAGAGCCTCGCAATATGGTCGTTTGTCACCCTCACGGTGATCGGTGATTGGTTGCGTGGTTGGAGGGTGGGCGTTGCGCGGCGGTTTGTTTTTAATTTTACAAACGGCCGCGTAAGTCCAGCGGTGATTGGTCGCATGTTTTATCGCATGACGCAGTCGCTCGCTCCTTAAGTAGAGAGCGGTTTTGTCATCGGTCTGTATAAAAAGCACTTGTTTTGGCTCGCCGCTCACTTAGCGGTTCATACTAGGTAAGACACATCATTTTATTTTATAACGCGGATATTTGCGAAGTAAATTTTTCTAAAAGCTTTTATAAAGTTATTTCATATACGTCCCACAGCCGAGCGCAGACCTCCTCTTATTTATGAGAGTCGAAATGATACTTCCACAGTACAGGTACAGACTATGTACTTTCCACTTCTGGACTCTTAAAGAGTTAGTGGTGGATTAGACGGCTAGAGGGTTTTATGTCCAAATCCTCAAACGCTGCTTAATTATAAGATGCCATTAAGTCCTGTGCTGTCTTTATCACTTTATATCAAAGTGACTGCAACACCACGAGAATTAATGACATTTTTAATTGAATAGAGTTTGAGTATTTGATCATTAAAGTGTTAGTGACAAGTTAGATGTTGTAAAAAGTTTATCTCTTTTCTGAGGCGGATATAGAGATTAGTCCGACGCGCTGCCCAAGTGCAAACTACATATTATGTTCTTAAAATATTTCGAACAACCTAGATTCGATCCCGCCTGCACCAATGACTTTGTTTATTGCAGTTAGAAGCGATGTTACACCATTGACAATTTAGAGGCGCTATATAATATCCACTAACCCGTATTGTCTCGTGTCTGTCAAAAGAGGCGACAAGGAGAAACAAACCAAGGGATAAGCAGCAACGTCTTCCAAGTAAGAAACAGAAACAGAAACTTTTTTATTCAATAAAGATTATAAATAATACTTATTGATTGTCACTATTTTGTTTGATTACCACTGGTTCGGAAAAACACCTCTGTCCTGGGAAGAATCAGCAAGAAACCCAGCGAGACTTTTTTTTTTTAAATAACAGCTTACAATCATGATGTTACACAAATTAACAACACAACAAATTAGAAATAGCTTGGTAACAATAACCACATTTCCAGGGGTTATTATCATCTATAAATTATTTAATATTATAATAACCCTTTTTATACAAACTTAGTTTAATAAAGTTTTTGAACTTTGAGCAGGTCAAACTTAGTATATTTTCTGGAATTTTGTTGTAAAAGCGTATACATCGCCCCAAGAATGAATTATTGACTCGATGGAGTCGAGTAACTGGTACTACTAGCTTGTGTCTGTTCCTAGTATTTACAGAATGAATATCACTTATTTTTGTAAAACTAATTTTATTTTTGTGTACGTACATTACATTTTCATAAATGTATTGAGAGGCCAAAGTTAATATATTAATTTCCTTAAATTTTTGTCGCAGCGACTCTTTAGGCTTTAAATCATAAATTGCTCTTATGGCCCTCTTCTGTAAAAAATATAATTTCAGTGTCAGCTGCGTGTCCCCATAGCAAAATACCTTACGACATTATGCTATGGAAATAGCTAAAGTAAACTAGTCTAGCTGTTTCAACACTACTTAGACTTCTAATCTTTTTTACAGCATATGCTTCAGAACTAACTCTGCTTGCTAGTTTTGATATATGGGGGCTCCATTGAAGCTTCGCGTCTAGTGTGATTCCAAGAAAATTGATGGTATCTACAAGACTCAGTTTCTCCCCATTTAAAATTACATTAGTATTTAATTGTTTGACATTTGGAGTCATGAATTTCATACATTTTGTTTTAGTGCCATTCAAATGCAAATTATTAACATTGAACCAATTTACTAATTTAGATATACTCGTAGCATTATTTACTTCGTCATCTTTTAGTAATTGTCGACTTGATTTAAAAATTAAAGAAGTGTCATCTGCAAATAATACTATATCATGGTTATCCCCTACTATGTAAGGTAAGTCATTAATGTATACAAGAAACAGAAAGGGGCCGAGAATTGAGCCTTGAGGCACGCCCATTTGTACCAACGATCTGGAAGAGCTCATATTGTTAATGACAACTTTTTGCGTTCTCTTGCTTAAATTTGAAATAATTAATTTAAGAGCATTACTTCTTACGCCATAGTGTTGAAGTTTCCTGCTTAATGTTTCATGGTGAACACAATCGAAGGCCTTGGATAGGTCACAAAATATACCCAAAGCATCCTGTGAATTCTCCCATGCATTAAAGATATATTTAATCAGCTCAACACCGGCATCAGTTGTCGAGCGACCCCTTGTGAAACCGAATTGATTTTTATGAAGTAAATTATTTATATTAAAAAAAAATTATCATTTGATCAAGAACAATTTTTTCAAAAATCTTACTAAGTGTTGGTAGTACAGAAATAGGTCTAAAATTGGCGGGGTTTAATGTACTACCAGATTTAAATAAAGGTATTACTTTACTATGCTTCATTAAATCAGGAAACACACCAGATTCGATAATAGTATTAAAAATAATAGCTGAATGAGGCGCGATTGTATCTATTATAGACGCAATACTTGTAACGGAAATCCCCCACAGATCCGCAGTTTTCTTAACATCAATAGTTTTAAAATATTTTACAACATCTTTTGATGACGATTTATGAAAT